TTCACCATTGAACTTTATTCTCCTTTGGATCTTTTCATAATCTCTCTGGCATTGGGGTGTCCGTTTCCTATGCTTCAATGCTGGATTTGCGTAGCTGAGGTAGCTCACTGTTCTCTGCGACATTGAAAATAAATAATGAATTTTGAAAATTACCTCAGACTTTTCAGAGGATTGAGTGGCAACTCAATCCTCTGAAATAGTCTGTGGTAATTTTTAGTCTCTACACTATTTCAATATAAGCTCCATTTTTAAACAGTTTTTAAAAATCGAGCATTGAAAAGTGTGATGAGACTTTTTTTTCAAAACTACAATTGAATTAATTAATTTCATCCACTTTTGTGAAATATTTTATTGTACTATGTATTATTAACAACTTTGCCGATAAACATTATTTTTATATTTCTTCATCAAATTCAAAGAACGATTATTCAATGATAACAAAATACATTTTCAATCGATTTTTCTCGAACACATATATATGGAAATCAAGGATTATTTTTATTTAAAATATTCTAAAATTCATACCTATCATCAGCCATCATAATTTAAAAAGGCTCAATCAAATATTTCTGTGCGGTTCAAAATGAAATAAAATTACAATTGGGAATGGAAGCGGTTACAATTTCATACTTCAGATATTTTTCAAATACTTGTAACAATAGTCATATCATAATGGCAAACTCTAATATTTTATAAATAAATTGAATATACCTTTATTGTTAGAAGCTCTCAATTTTTTTTGATCCTTCTTAAGGGTGCACACGAGAGGATCATGTAAACTTCAGAATTTAGAACCTTATTTTTAGGCATTATCTTTGCTACCTATTTAGGCTCGAAAAGCAAAAAATATCAAAAAATACAACTTGACTCCATTATGACCCTTTCATGGAGTTAGTTTTTATCCGCTAGTATTTTCCCTTTGAATCTCTTTACAATTCGAAATCAAATTCAAAACTCAGTAGAAGAAAGGAAGAATCGACTTACTACGGTTGTAATACGAATAAATACATATATTTAATTATTTTTATTTACATAATAATTGTTTGAAGCTCATATTCCATCAAATTTTTAAATAAAAACATTAAAATGTTGAAAATTTTCATATATTTTAATAGGGTTTTGGCACTTTATTGAGGAATTACTACATACATAGTCGAACTGAACTTGATATTTTGAAATTTAAATTATTTATCAAAATTAAAATTTAACTTGAAATTTATAATTATTTAGTCATACTTTGCATAATTCTAAGTAGATTTTGTAAAAAATCAAGAAAGAAAAAATTTAACGTGCTTTATTTTTTCTTTTTTATAATAATACATATTATTATATAATTAACATATTCATAATTTTTCACCCTTTCAAAAATATAATCCTCCTCCTCTCAAATAAACGTACATACGGGTGGCCTCTTTTTTCAAAAAATTAAAATTTGAAATTTTGGGCTCAAATATTAGAGATTTTTTCAACCTTCAACGATATATGTTGTCTATATCAGACCTCCTTTCTTTTTGATACTTAATATTGTTCCTAAATCTTAGCCGTTAAGGCTGTTCTGAAAATATTTTTTTTTCGAAAACATTCGAACAAAATTCTTAAAATTCAAAAATCGCGTAATTCCTGAGGATTTTGGAAAAAAGTTTTTACATGAACATGTGTATATTATATGAAGTATATTGATAAGGTAAAAATCAAATTTTATTGCATATTCATCGAGAAAATAAACTAACGAATCCCTCAAAATTGAGAGGGTAATCCTCCTCCTCTCAAATAAACGTACATACGGGTGCACCCTTAATCAATCACTATTTTCTCACAAATTGGACCCGTAACACTTATCATCTCATTCAGAACCCATCTTCCATAAACTTTAAGCGTATATGAATATATTTTTACATTATTGGCAAGAATTTTCGGTCAATTGAAAACACTCAGACACCAGAGTGAGCAATTTATGATTCTTGCATATAGAGGAATCCAGAAAACGATCAGCAATCTAGATTTTCTGACCACAAAGGTAGAGGTTATATCAATTTCATCAAAATTTACAAATTCAGCTTTCAATTTTTATTACGTTCTTGGGTTAATTTTGAAAAAACAAATGATAGTTGAATTATCATATGCACAATGACGAATAATGTTAAATGCCTTAAATATATGATTTTACTTCTTTTCATAAAAAGCCTGTAATTTTTGACATTCCGACTTCAATTTTCTGAGATATCTCATTTTTACAAATGCTTCTTTTCCTTTTATATTCATTCATATAATCATTTTCATTGATGAATGACCGGATATAAAATATGATACTTTTTGACAATTAACAATCTAACGATGCCAAAAACTAGGTCAATTCTTCTTATTATAATGCATTTATTATCGAGATTTAAAAAGATAAGTTTTGTATGCATTTTTTTATTAAATGAAGTATTTCCCGATTAAATAATTTATGTTTTCTTCTATGAAATTATCCCAAATGATTACAGCAAATTTTTACAATTTTAATAGATTGAATATATCTGACTCTCAATTCTAATATTACATTCATAGACTTCAAATAATATCATTGATTCAACCACCACTCATATTTTAAAATTCTTTGTATCATCTTTTGTCAACAATTCAATTTTATAAAACCTAGTTACGGGAATTCAACATTCGCTATTATTGACAATTTCTCTGATTTAAACATTTATATCTATTTAATAATTCACATATTCTTCATTAATAGCTTTATTTTGGTCTCTTTTCACAACAATTAGATTTACGATTAACATTTTTAAGATATTTATATGCTTTATTCACTCATACTAATACCAGCGACTCTAGGTCTTTTCATTTTCATCATCAAATTTTATCATCTTTTTAACCCTCTTTATTTTCATTTCAAAACTTCTATTTTTAAAAAAGTCATCGTATTTAATCTTTTATCTTAAGAACAGGTTCATAAATAAGTATAAGCAAATCTTCCCCAATATAGCAAATACTGCCAAATTGGTAAGAATTTATGACACCTGTAATATTCATACATTTTCTGCTTGATAATTTAAATTGATTTGGTTATCATAGAAAAGCACCAAAAACTGGAATAGGAATAGCCGCGTTAAAACAGGAATAGGCAATATGGAAACAAGGGTAGACTCAAACTCATACTCAAGGCAAGACTGATACAAGAATTACAACAAAATTTTACAAAATCTATTATTTATCTCAATTTAATGGCAGGTTTTAGTACCCGAAGAGTTTGCATTCTACTTTTTGCTCTTATTTTACAAAAATATTCTAAAAATTTGTAACTTCTTTTATAATATAATACTTTTTTTCAAATTTACTTTCCAAACGTTAATGTCTTGTTACGGCTATATCTTTGTACGGGGAAATAAAGAAATTTTATTATGCTATTATATTATTTTTTTTAAATCAATATCTAATCAATAGTAAGTTAGATTTTTTATTAAAAGAGCAAATAAAGATACGATCGAGCAATAGTTTATTTTAAATCTCAATATTATAAAATAAATGTTCAAAATTTTTAAGTAATAATACTAAATACTTAAATAAGTAAAAGCACACAAGAAAAATATTCACTAACTTAAGAAAAAATCATATATTTAGAGAATTATCCCTTATAATAAGATTAAAAAAAATTAAACTGTTTTCAATCATCATCATCACCAGCTCCATAGAACTTGTGTTTGCGATAGATGACACATTTTGCAAGCCATTTGACACCACCAAGATATGACCACAAATCGCTGCCAACATCTCCACCTTGAAGACCTTTGATCAAACCATCAGGAACGATGTAAGTAATTTCATCGTCGAGCATGAACCAAACTCTTCCTTTGTTGACGAAGGCAACGAAATGACCTTGATGATAAGCAATAATGGAATGTATCTTAAATACATACGTTCCATCACTGAGTTGAGTTTTGTAGTTCTTCTTGATCTCAAATTTGTCAAAGAAGACATTTGGATCAGACCAATTCCTCTGAACGTCGACCCAGAGGAATGTTGAGATTTCATTGATATGAGAATCATCTGTGCACATTTGTTTAATTCCTTGATCAATACCTGCTGCACCAAGAGGAATGTGAAGCGAAACCGAATAGAAGCTTTCATCAGGAGTCTCAGTTTGATATTGGAATGTAAGTTAGTATCCCTAAGTCGTGTACTGTGGCACTGCGCGCCTCCGTACACCACTTAGCGGTTTTGACACTTTACAAAACCAGTAACGTATATTTTACAACAGAACCATAACACCAACTTAACCTTAAATATTTACAAAACCATCTGACACATAAACGATTTCACTAACGACTTCACTAACGAACTCACTAACGAATTCACTACCGTCCTCACTAAATAAAAAATAACCTTATTTTTATTTTTTTTTAAATTTTTTATTTCATTACAAAGACATGTCCGACTACATTTACTATGACTCTTTCCCAGAACGTTTCCGTGAACTATTCAAAACTCAAGTAAAACTGAGAAACATGCATTTTAACAAAGACAGACCCATTGACGATGAAAGAAACCCTGAATATATTACAATCCCTTATGACGCAAAGTTCATTGCATACATTCCTTATGGTCGCAGAGGAACGAAAACTATTTCAACAAAGAACAAAAATTATTTCTGGAGCGATGAAGAAAATTGCCTTATCTACATAAATGCATACTTAAATAAAGCTACATATTGTACAAAAGAAGGTTGGACTGGATTTGAGCTCTACATATACGACGACGATGGAAACAGACGCTGTGTATACCCATACGATAATATGTACCATTGTTTTCATCAAGCATTAAACGAATACATAGTCAGTAAGGGTCTCATTCCTGTTGAGTAGATATGCTTTATTTTTGTTCCCACATTTATATAAAAATTAATGATATCACCACTCCCACACGTATGAAAACATAGCACAAAAATAAATTTAGGTGAAGTGGTGAAATCTCACCTCTTTTTTCACCTCTTTTTTCACCCGTTGAATTCATTGCTTTATAACTCTTTTCCTTGGTTTCTTTTTAGTTGCTTTCTTCACGTCTGTCTCCAGCTTGACTGTCTTTCTTCTTCGTCCGTAATGATACCAGTTACTTCCACCAGTCAATGGGTCAAATGGTCTTTCGTAAGGGTTTCCATACATTCCATAGGGACCATACGGAAGAACTACTGGTGGAGGAAGAGTTCCATCGACTCTATTTAAATGCATTGTTTCACCTTTCATCTGGTCATTAAAGTCTTTTGCGTGTTTTGCAAACTCATCGTCCTTTCCTAAAGCATTTTCTGACTCAGTCGCAACCAAATTGGATGCTTTATTTATGAGTCCTATTTTATTTAATCTTAACTTCTTTGCAACCCAGCCTCCAATCTTTCCTTTATTTGCATCTAATGTCTTTGAAACCCTTCCTCCACTCATTTTATTTACTGCGTCATAAGCCCCAAGTGCTTTTGCTCCAAATGCTAATGCTTTTGTTCCCATTGCGCCTAAAGCTGCCCAAGCTACCATTTACACCATATTAAAATCATCTCTCTTCAATATTATCTCATAAAAGTTCTCGTTACTGGAGAAAGTCAATGAAACATAAACATTCTCACGGACTTCGTCCTCGCCGCGTTGCGGCTTCATAAACTTCTTTCTTATATCATCTATTCGCTTCAAAATGTCTGAACAATTGCTAACATCTTCTACAACAGTTATTTCATCATGAATGACCTTCAAGAACAAGCTCATTTAATATGCAATTAAAATCATCTCAATAATGAGTCCATCCTTTCCATCTTTAGGTAGCACAACATCTTTCATTGAAGAAGGTTCGACAAGTCTTATGTTAAACTTACTGACAAAGTTTGTTATACTATAATGCTTCGGCGGCGAATACATATAGTTTGAAAGACATAATATAGATTCTTCAGCAAATTCACTTATACTGGATTTTATAACAATGTTCTCACGAGACCAAATACCACCAATTGACAATCTTGTAAGCAATCCTGCTGAACCTTCAACTGTAAACGTCGATGGTAACATTCCACGAAGGTCATCTATTGACATCTTTGAGTCACTGTATTTAAATATTTTCTTAAAGCAATCGTCATTATCTAACCATGCAATAGCTTTGAAGTTTTCATTCGAATATACATCTGCTTCATTAAATGTAAAACCTGACTTCTTTGCAGAGATGACTTTAAAATCTATTGAGTTTGTTTCAAAATTATATGCTATGCTAACTTCTGAAGGTAATGGGTGTCCTTCCGCAGTCAGTTGTTCTCTCACTACCGTTTGAAGCTTTGTGTTAAAAACTTTCATGTCATCTCCTGTGTCTAGGTTCACATACACAGCAATAGGAAAACTATCTTGCTTCTTTGTCTCATCATTATATCTCAAAACATTAAAGTTCTTCAATAATATTGTCCTTCCTGCTGGAATACTTCTAACTTGTCTTATTTCAATAGCTTTCTCACCTCCTACATACTCTACCCAGTGCCTTGGATATTCATAAGTATACTGACTTTCTTGAATTTTGGTTGGTTTCATCATAACGTGTTCATAGTATATCTTTATACTCTTGTCAGTTAGACTCGGTGCTATGTTCTGAATATTTCTGACTTGCATTTTTAATGGAGATAAAATGAAGCATTTAATACATGACGTAGATGAAGACATGAATGAAACTACAGACAAACTTAACTCTTCTCTCATTCTTCCTTTCAGTAAGGACTATGAGTTCTGTTCAAATGGCGTTTATTTCTATTGTGGAAAGATGGGGTCAGGTAAGACATTTAATTTAATTCGTCATATACTCATAACAGAGCGTTTAGGAAACGATTCATATTATGACCAAATCATTATATCAGCAACTTCAGACTCTATGGACTCAACAGCGAAAACATTTATGTCAAAAGTTCAAGCCTCTGTCGTTAAAGTTCCAGACAGTGAACTCATTGAATTTCTTCAACGTTACATTCGACGTAAGAGGAAATATTATGCCATCGTTGAATTTATACAGTCAGGAATGCAAAAGACTTCTGAGGAGATGGAAAGAATTATTGACAAACACCACTTACGTCAATACTCAGGAGTTTACGATATGAAACGACTGACAAACTACATTCTATCAAAACTTTCAAAATACCCCTTCAAAAAATATCCATCAAACACTTTATTAGTTTGTGATGATTTCGCTAGTAAAGGTTTAGTGTCAAAGCCTGACTCACCATTAGCTAACATCATTACTAAAGTCAGACATTACCACTTAACTGTAGCAATACTTATGCAAACATGGCGTTTTCTTGCTTTAAACATAAAACGTCTCATAACTGACTTCGTTATCTTTCAAGGTTTCTCACGTTATGATATTGAACTCATTTGGAAACAGTCAGGTATAACATTACCTTTTGAAGAAATTTGGGAAGCATATAAGTCTCTCATCTCTCCTCGTTCATACCTTGAGATTCATATCATGACTAATACCATTAAAGTCAAAAATATTCCATGGGAACGACCAACATTGTTTTAAAGTTTAACCTTCAATTGACTGATGGTAAACAAATTCCATGCATCTCTGTCGCCATTTCTGTTAATATTTTTGCTGTCATTCATATCATCCACTTCTCCATCCGTTAGCTTTTGAGGATATGTGTTAGAATAGCTGTTCTTAAATGAAGGCTTTTCACCTTTGAGAGCATAAACTCTATAACTTTCTGCATACTTTATGTTTGAACCTCCTGAGCCATCATTGACATAAATTTTTATAGGCTTCCACCCTTTGTTCATGTTCCTGCTTCTTCCCTTAGCTCTTTTGTTCAGTAGTTCTACATCTTTATACACAGCACCTGTCTCAGTGAATTCAACAATATTTTCATTCGTTAGCTTTACATTCAAACCCTTGTCGAGTATATTGTTCATTTCATACATATAAAAGGTTTTTATTCTATATGAAATGAGAAGCAAATCCATCTTAGCTGGTGCCGTTAATGTTCCAATTGAACCAACATCAAATGTTGACTCACGAACGACAAACAATATTGTCATAAAGAACTATAGTTCAGAGTGTTTGAAAGAAAAAGAACCAGAACTGAAATCCGTGAATTTAAACTCAGCTTCAAACGCTAACGCTACATCAGATGTTAAGTTAGAGTATCCACCACTGGACCAAGTTCTTTCAAGAGAAGCCAACGACAACCCTTACACAAATGTTCAAACAAATCCTTCAGATAACGTAGACCATTACCTTCTTCAGTTATACCAAACAATTTTACTCAAAGACGATAAGAAGCTTTTGACAAATCTTATAAGCAAGAACCAAATAATTCTAACAAAGGAGGACCTTGAAAATGTTATATCACGAATAACAGGGAAACAATGTGTCATTGACTATCTCGACCCTGAAATCGAATGCTGTGGTCAAACGCCACCATTCATGAAAATAGGTAACATCCGCATCATTGAAACACCAGGAACTACAGGAGTTGAGTTTAAGTATAAATATTCGAACGAGTATACAAAACTTTCAACAGAATATAAGCTTTGTTTGAAATATGTTTTAGTAAATTAAAGCAATTTGTAATATCTATCCAAAACTTCTTCAACAGTATCGAACTCATCTTCATAATGCAAACCTAATCTTATTGACTTGGTGCAGTTCTCACTAACACAATATAGCGCTTTGCGCTCGGCGCCTTTGACGCCTTTTTCTGTTCTCTTGACTGACATAACTAACTCATTTGTTTCATCAAACAGCAACAACCAAAGTTCATGACCTAATACATAACATTCATACTTTATATTTTTAGCTCTGAGTTCTCTTGTAAGCTGTTGCATTTAATATTTTCTAAAAAGTCTACTTCAACAGTCATTCGCACTGGTGCCTTCAGTTCTACAGGCTCTCCTTGAAAGTCAACTAGTCTGAATTGCATGTCTTTCAAATTATGAGGACTAATGCGAACCCATTTACCTAAATGAGTTGCTATGACAGGAACGTTTGGAATGAACATTGAATTTACTTCATAACAGAAAGACTTATATTCTACTGAACCTTTACTATTAACTCCTGAAATACCTGTGACATTAGCTATTTTTGACTCAATGTATAAACAATTGCCATAACATACGTATGGAACAGATTTCATCTCAATCGTTTTGTCAAAACTTTTCAAAGGAAATGTCATATGGTATGCTCCCAGAAGCAATTGAACTCTATGACTCATTCGTGTTATCTTAAACTCCTTCGCATAACTGAACTTCAAAACTCCTGCAATAAGTTTAACATTCATTAAGTTTTCTTCGTTCTCCTTGTTTATTGTAGTATTTATGAGCGCATTTAACACTCCAGCTAATGTTTCCATCTTATATTCTACATTATTGTGAAATCTTATTTCGTGCTTCTTTCCATCTATTTCAAGCTCCATGAAATCTGTTTCATCTGTTATAACGAATGAAGCGATAGTATTGAAGTCAACAACTCTGAAAGCAAGCGCTTCATTCTGAAGACCTAAGTTTGTTTGTAGCTTTACTGTCCCGTATTCGTTTGGGTCTGTACTTTGCAAATAGAACAACATTTTATTCTCATTAAAATATGAGTATTGCTGCATATGCGTATGAAGCTGACAGAGCTAAACGTTTATATTTTGGTCAATACTCTCTCACACTTACTGACAAATATATTGTTATCAGTGATGGAAATACCGAGAAATACATAACATGGAAGGACTATGAAAAGTTTGACCCTATTTTAACTCCATGCACTATGCCATTCATTGTAAATGGTGAAGTTGTCATGAAGAACGACACAACTGTTTATAGGTCTGTATATGAAGCGTTAGAATATATGTTGAATTATAATCCCGAAAGATTTGACCCAAGCACTACGTCATGTACAATGCCTTTTATTAAGGATGGTGAAATCGTAAGAGTTCCGAATTCAACGGTTTACACAGCTGTTCAAAACAGTTTACAAAACATTTTAGCGAATATCTTTAATTCAGAAACTACAGAAATAAAATTACCATATATAACAGATGCTAAAGAAATTAAATCAAAAACGACAACATTATTTACGTCACTTAATGATTTAATGACTTATATCATTAATATTCCTGCACCAACTACAGCATTTGATCCAAACTCGACAGTTTGCAGGGTACCTTTCATAAAGGACAGTTCATTAATTGTTTTAAGGGATTCAACAGTTAATGAATCATTAAAGGCGTCATTAATGAAAATCATTGATTTTAATTCATTCACGAATACATATAATTCATTCATTAATGTTTCATATGCTTCTAAAGAAGGTGAGCCAAAAACTATCGATAAAGCGGTGTATGAAATAAAAGCATCAACGACGAAATTGAATTCGTTAACTTTTGACGGTGATAGTTTCGTTAATGACATAACATCGGGGAAAACAATTTTAACGAAAGAATATTTAAAATCTCATGTTAGTGAGTTCGTTGAAATTGAAAAAGAAGGTGGAATTAAGTTCGATCCACTGAATTTCATTTTCAGCTTAGCGAATGCGGGTGTTAGTTTCGCTGAATGGACAACTATACAGAGTGAAATAAATGCAATATGGACGTTTTTGGGGTCAAAAGCGGGAATGGGTGAGCTTGTAAATGCTGCAAGAACATTAGGTGAAACAGGAAATTTTGTAGATGGTTTTAAAAGACTTGTTTCAAATGTTTTAACAAACACAAAGAAATTATTTAGATATACCATACATAACGGACGGATTTTCGAACAGGTAGCAACAAACCCTCCGGTTATGGCTGCGTTGATGATGGTTAGAGATATAAAACCACGTAACGACGGGAACGAAGAACATGAACAACAGAGCCCAACGGGCTCAGAGCCACATAGTGGCGAGGATACTGGTCGGGTTATTCGAGACATTAAAAACGTGTATCCTGAAGTTATTGATTTATTTAGAGGAGTTAATGATTCAATTTCAAAACATTCTATAACCCTCGATGAAGAGAATAAATTAACAGATTATATATTCGTCATTATTGCAGAACTAATGAAGAGAATAAATGAAAAAGGAATTGGTGATATCATTAATGTCAGCGATGTAATGATGAAAAGAAATTTTGACTCATTATTTACAAAACCGAAAACAGAATATAGTCTTTATGACGTAATTACCGAATTAATGAAAAAGATTAATGATAATAAGAGTTCTGGCGGAAGAGTTGAATTAGAAGTGAATGATGTTAATGAGAAATTAGCCGAAAAAGCAGATAAAAACCACGTTCATTATATAACTTCAGACGAACAGATTATAACGGACTACCATGGATATTTAACACGAAGTGATGAAGCGAAGACAAAAAATGTTAATGAAAGAAGATATAAATACATTCGTGCTAAAGGTTATGACATAAGCTGTACTGTACAGTATGACACAGGTAAAGCACAAGAAGCATTTAGTTATAACGATGAAATTTATGCCTCTACTTTCTCTGTTAACGGTGTATTAGTTGAACCAAGATTTATGTTAAGAGTTAAGGCAAAAATAACGTTTGAAGATGCTATTAAAAGTAAAGCTGACAAAGTTGAACTCGAAGCAATGAACAAAGTTTTGAAATCTCATAAACACAACATCTCCGATATAAATGAACTTCAAACTTCTTTAGACAGTAAAGCTGACAAGAACCATACACATAAATCCTTCACTACTGTTAGAGCAGACGACATAATATTGAACTATACCCTTGGTTCAAGTGCACCTTTAGAGAATCCAAGTACAAGCGTAAAAGATACACTAAACTCCTTAAATAACAAATGTATGAATATCGAAGGTCATGCCAGAAACTTTGAAGCATATGAACTACCAGCAATGTTAGATAAGAAAGCAGATAAGAACCATACACATGATTTCTTCACAACTGTTGGTATAGAAAGTATTGAAGGAACGGTTGAAGAAACTGGTGGGGATGCAATATATTGTAAACCTCCTAACTTTCCACAAGGTTTAACATCGGATGACGACATAACGACGATGAGAAACATTAGATGTAAAGATGTTTATGTCATGAAGGATGAACATAATATTAAATTCACTGCTCAAGATTTATATGACAAGAAAGCAGACAAAACAGAGCTTCAAACATTAAAGACTCAGATTCTTCAAACATTATATCCTATAGGCTCTATTTATACGTCAATGAACTCAACAAATCCAGCAACAGTTTTAGGTTTTGGTACATGGCAGCAGATTGTAGACAAATTCTTATACTGTGCTAACTCTTCAAAGCAAACAGGAGGTTCGAAGAAAATTAAAGAAGCAAACCTTCCACCACACACTCATACAGGAACTACAAACTTTTCTGGCGACCATATCCACTCATTAAGAGACCATCCATTATACAACTCAGAGTATGAAGCTGGCAATGACGTTTTATCTCCATCTTATAACAATGCAGCAAAAAAGACTTTTCGACAAACTGAACCGGGAGGAAATCATTCACACACTTTCACAACAAATCCAACAGGCTCGGGTGAAGATTATATGCCACCATTTATGACTGTATTCGCATGGTATAGAGTTCAATGAACGCGCTTGAGCCTAGAATAAACTCTTTAACTTTACATAAATGAGCTTGAAAGAAGTATTCGAACAACATCCATGGAGGTCATTTAAGAAGTTCAATGAAGCTGCAAAGAGTCGGGGATTTACTAACAGAGCTGAAGTGAAAAGGTTCTTTGACAAAAATGTTGTACATCAAACAAAAATAAATCCTTACGACTACTTTTTACCAATTTACTCCAACACTCCTGACGCATACCAATTTGACACTCTCATTCAAAGCAGAAAAGGAGGACATAAACCATTCCTCATCTTCATAAATGTTAACACTCGTAAAGCATATGCGTATATAATGAGAAATAAAGGAACTCGTGAAGTGTTAAGAGTTTTACAAAAGTTTGTAGCAGAACATAACCCAAGTACTTTAACATCAGACCAAGACAGTGCATACCTCAGCAACGAAATCACAGAATTTCTCATTAAGCATAACATAACTCACTACACTACTGAAGACCATAACCATAACATACTCGGCATCATAAACCGCTTCATAAGAACGCTCAGAGATTTAAATCAAGAGCGAGACTTTACCGAAGAAACAATGAAACATTTTCTCGAAGTATATAATTCCTCAACACATTCTACAACATGACATACACCAAATTCAATGACACAACAACAAGAAGAAAAGTATATACAAAAGAAACGAAGCCAAACACAAAATATCAGAAATTCAACACAATTTACTCTCATTCCTGGTACAAAAGTTCGTGTAGTTCTTGACGACAAACCATTGACAAAGAAACGTTTAAGGTTAAGTCGAAATTATTATATCGTAGACTCTACGCAAGGTAATGGATATCTTATAAAAGCTGCTGACGACTCCATAGCATTTTACCCTCGACATAAATTAGTCGAAAGTAGTAATGGCAAACTTGCTGAAACCATTGACGAAGCAAAGCGAGGAGTGGTTATTGAAATACTTGGCTATAACACAAACGATGACACTTATAAAGTAAGATATGAAGGAGGCGTTGAAGATGTTATACCATCTAAGAACTTGAGAGAATCTAAACCAACTCATCTGGGACCATTAGAGCGGGAGTACTGGAAAGATAAAAACATGCCAGAAAGAATAAGAAAATTCTTCTAAACTTTTTCATTAGATGTAAATCAGACAAAAATAATGTTTAGGTGAAGTGGTGAGATTTCACCCGTTTTCTCACCTAATTTTTCACCTCTTGAATTTTCATGAATTTTCACAAAAGACCAAAAATAACGCTAATTTTATTTTTATTTATTTTTTTATTTTGTATGTAAGAACAGAAATGTCAGTCGAAGCAAAAACATTCACGAACAAATCTAATGGTGAAACATTCACAAAAGGCACTTATAACGGTATTGAAGTCTTACGTAGAGACAAGGATGGTTACATTAATGCAACAAAGATGGCAAGAGAAGCGGGAAGGTTAAACCATTTAAACAGATTTCTCAATAGTACTAAAATGCAGGAAATTCTTGAGTTTTGGATGAACGAATACGGTGGAGCCAAAAGTGGCTCGACCTCAAAACAAGCATTTTATGAGCTTACTAAGGGCGTTATGAATGAATTCAAAGGTATTTACATACATGCTGACCTCGTTCATTTTGTTGCTGAATGGTGCTCTGTAAAGTATGCATTTTATGTCAAAGATATTATGGACTCCATAGACAAGAAAGTTCATGAGAAGTTAGATGAAGAAGAACTCGAAGATACAGTGGAGAATGCTAAACCTTTGTTCGAAGAAGAAGTTGGAAAAATGTGTGAAAAACAATTAGAACATGAACGTGAGATATATTATGGTTATAGAGATTCTCCATACGAACTAGACCAATGGGAACAAGAAGATTTAAAGAGAGAATTTAGAGAATATGAACTCGCTAAGATAGCATTTGAAGCTGCAGAAAAGAAGTTAAAAGTTTGGGGTCGTTTTGTACAAAAATATTGTGAGTAAATGAACCATTTATTTTTATTGAATTCACCAAAAATAATGTTTAGGTGAAGTGGTGAGATGTCACCTGTTTTTTCACCTAATTTTTCACCTCTTGAATTTTCATGAATTTTCCCGAAATAAAAATAACGCTAATTTTATTTTTATTTATTTTTTTATTTTGTATAAAAGATATGATTTCAACAATCGGCACAACAACAATTCAAGCCGCGAACGGCGGGACTCTGTCCACAACAACTTCACCAAACTCGTTAGTCATGAATCCAACATCTATGTTAGTAGAGATGAAAAGCTTCATTCCTTCTTCATATACTTTCGAAACAAAAATCCAGAAGATAAAGCAAGAACTTTTAACAAGTAATTTAGACTGTAGTGCGAAAGATGAAACAAATGAACAGTATCTTTATGAAATGCAGGACATTATTGACCATTTACCTAAACTACCTGAAATTCAGCATCAAAAACTAACTATTCCTGAATTCGATGAAATAGAAGTGAAACCAACTGACTCAGTAGAAATAAAGAAGTTCATTCGAAAGGTAAACTATGAGTTTCTAGGATTTCATTGCAACCATAAGGTTATGGACAAAGATTGCGACATGGTATATAAGAATGTTTCTGACATATATAAATCCGGGGAGTTTAAGACCTACGATAACTTTGTTTCGTTAGTTGCTGAATGTGTATGGCAGATAAGAGATAAAGATAGAAGAGGTAAAATATGGAACGAACAGATAAGACCAACTGCTTTTGAGTTAAAGAAAACCATTGACGCCTTAGTTGTTTTAGCAGGTAAGGTTTCAGAATATAACGCAAAAATGAATCCGCAATGTTCTAAATGTAAAGCAGCAATTAGGAAATATAACTACTCCGTCAAAGAGATAGAAAGAATGCGAAACGACTATGCTGACTTAAAGAAAGAAGTAGAGAAACCAGCAGAAGATAAAATGGACATGTTAGCATTTCTGAACAAAAACTATCCAACAGTAGAAGATTTCCTTCTATCTGACGTCAAGAAGAAATATAAAGAGACTTTCGGCATTGTTAAAACTTTTGATATCCTCAGCGAAGAAATAGAAGCTACGAAATTGTTTAGGATTTCAAATATACATCGTACAATTCATGTAAAACGCTTATAAAATAACTAGGGTGAGAAAACAGGTGAAAAAACAGGTGACATCTCACCTCTTCACCTAAACATTATTTTTACTGAATTTAGCAACAAAATTCTGAGTAAAATAATTTTTAGGGCTTGTGTCAAACCGTTGAGTTTTCACAAAATTTAAAAAAATAACGTTTACCATGTGAAACGTTTATAAAATAACTAGGGTGAGAAAACAGGTGAAAAAACAGGTGAGATGTCACCTCTTCACCTAAATTATATTTTAGGTCAAAGCTTCCACGAGAGAAAAGATTCCTCATTCGCTAAGGATTCCAAAAATGAAAAAATCATTGATTTCGGCTGAGAAAAAACAGAAAAAACAGCAAAACCCTTCTTCCACGGGAACAAAGAAATAAAGAAGAAATAAAGTAAATTTTTATTTATTCCCGTGGAAGATAGAGCACTTTTATGACACTTTTTATTCACGACAAACAAGACAAACAAAGAAAATAAGAAAATACGGCGCTGTCGCGGTTCGAACCACAGACCCTGACCCCTCCATAACACCACCTTAGACCACTGTGCTACGTAGCCTGTCGACATAAGATTTTATAAATTGCATATTTGACGTAAATTTATTTCCATCTAGCTTCCCACCGCATAAGATATTCATACGTGTTTGTAAGACATTCATTAAAATTCTTTTCTATTGCATCTAATCTTGCGTTATTTTTTTCAATAACTTGTCTGTATTCTTCATCATCTCCAGCAGTGTTTGGGTCTTCACGTTTAAAATATTCATTGTTAACCAATTTTTTATCTACAAATTTTATTAGTGTTTGATTCACTTCGTTATGATAATGGTCATATTCTTTCAATACGTAAGTGAAGACAAAATGCGTCGTACCTTCAATCTTAAAGCTTAAAGAACTTTCAACACAGTTTTGAGGGTCTGTCAGTGCGTCAATGAGATAGTATTCGAAGTCAGTCAATAATCTTTTTAAAGTCATTTCATACAGGATAAAATTTAATGTTGTGAAGAAATAGTGTTTATCTCAGAAAAAATAACGCTAATTTTATTTTTATTTATTTTTTTTATTTTGTATGTAAAGACAGTAATGTCAACATCAGAGAACACAACAACTGCTATCGTTCATGAAGCCATTAATGAAGAATACGAATACATACAGTATAACAAACAATTGAGACTCATTCGTTCTGTCAAAGACGACATGTACCAAATGCAAAGTATAATGAACGCTCTTCGTTCTACAAAGCAAGCATATCATTGGTTTGAAAACCAACAGACAAAAGAACTTTTAGAAGAATTTCCTCATATGATTGCTTCCCTCGGAAAACCGAGGGAAGAGATTCCGTACGAAAATCGCAAGAATTTGGCACCTGGTTTGAAAGGTTATTATGTTCATAGACTTTTAGTAAACGCTGTAGCAATGTGGGCTTCACCTCGTTATGCTTGTTATATTTTCATGATGTTAGATGAACTATATAAAGCAGAACGCGAACAGATGGAAAAGAAACTTCAAGCAAAAGATGAAGTCATTGAAGCAAAAGACAAAAGCATTCAGAAAAGAATACCACGTTCGGTACCAAAAGGAAAGGAAAAGAGTTATAAGTATATGATTTACGCTGAAGAGATGGAAAATGAAGAAGACAGAGATATGGTTATGTTGCATTTAGTCAGAAGAAACAACAAAAGCTTTTACGACCTTGCTAAAATATATAAATCTGACAGAAACTGGTTCTATCGTGAAAACTTACCGATTTCAATGACACCGAATGAGCAAATAAAGGAAATTGTCAAAAATACTCTTCCTCAAACACACTATGACATCAAAGGTTGCACAATACTTACCTTCAAAGAAGACTTAACATTACTGAAGGAAAAAATAACAGAGTATTTTGACAACTTCAAAGAGGAAGAATGAAGTCACGACAACATTAACGAAGAAGTCACGACAACATTAACGAAGAGAGAATGAGGTGAAAAAACAGGTGACATCTCACCTCTTCACCAAAAATATATTTTTGCTTAAATAGCTTCAGGGTCAATTTCTTCAACCATTTCACTTCCTTCGTCAATGTCAATTGAAGCTTCTTCAACCTTTGGTAAGAATTTCTGTATAACATCTTTGTTCGTTATTGTCTTCAGAGATGAAGGATAATATTTCACATTTGTTTCACCCTTCTTATATTCTTTCTGTTCGGAAAGATTCATAGCAATACTGAAGAAGTCAATGTTGGAGTTCTTTATAACAGTATAATGAGTATCTTTGACATTCACGAAGAAACCCTTTTGTTTCAAAACTACTGCTAACTCTTGTGAAGTATAACGTTTGCGGTCAATGACAATAGCTAATGGTCTGACATACTGACCGAACTTAGATTCTTTCACAAACTTCTTGTTAAAGATAACATTAACGTTTGCAGAACCATTGAACTCATTCTTGATGGCAGTAGCGAGAGCATTGTATGAAAAGAACTTGCAATCTTGCATGTGTTTCATTAAAATAAAAATATTAAATTATTTTGAAAAATAACTTTAAAAAATCTAATCTAATTTTTTCAAAAAATATTTTTTATTTCCTACTAAAGATGTATCGGAAGTTGTCTAAGTTAGAACACTCGGAAATAAAACAACTTCTTACAGAAGCTAATATAGATGTTGCAAAGCATTACGCAACAAACAAAAAAGCACTCGCTGACTTCATTAAAGACTATAATGGTGCAATAAGTTATGATAGAATTCATGAGTTCATAAAGCCGCAACGCGGCGAGGACGAAGTCCATGCAAGAGCATTTCCTTTAAATGACATTGCTATTGACTTATATCATAGACGTTCAGTACCTCATGAAGTAAGAAGAGAGATGTTTGACATAACAAATGCAAACGTTGGTGAAACAAGAAGAGCTGTACCTCATGAAGTAAGAAGAGAATGTTTGACATAACAAATGCAAACGTTGGTGAAACACGAAAGAGAGATGACACACTGAAACAACAGAGAAGAGAGATGTTTAAAAGTGCTATAGAACAAGTTCGCAAAGCTAACGATGTCATTCGTTCCATTGACGACAAACCAAAAGAAGGTGAGAGATGGTTAAAGAAAGATGAAGAGAATAGGAAGAGAAATGTGAAGTCAGGCAATAGACTCATTGACTTTAACATCGAAGCTTTAGATGAACCAAACAGAGACTACTTACACAAACATTTCGGTAAGGTTTTCATGAGACTCTTAGAGAAAATTAAAATAAACTCGCAACAGAGATGGATGGTATGTTATAAACTTGGTGGAAAGTATGAATGTTCTACGTTAAACCTCAATAATATTGGAACATTACTACATCAGCTCTTGAAGGAGAACTTTATATCAGAGATAGAAGCAAATGCTGCAGGTATTGTTGAAATGCACTATGACTTCTTCTTGACAAACATAAAGAATCTTACCGAAATAAAGATGTATGATTTAACAGAATATGAAGGCTTAACGATGTCAGATGTAAAGAAAGGCAAACCAAAAAAGAGACCATATAGAGATGAAAGCACACTGACAAATGACCAGAAAGCCATTTTGGAAGCTCTTAAGCAAACAGGAAACCCAGCACTTATAGAAAGCTTTTGGAAAGATAATGGTGAAAAGAAGTTTTATAAGAAGAGAAGCGGTCAGTTCTGGAAGTATCTTTGCACATTACCTATAAATCTTGAACGCTACCAAATCTTCAATGAACTGAACAAAAGAACTGCAACACTTATGACAGAAGACAATTGTTTCGTTTATGCTTGCATTCAGGCTGGAGTAGATGAGAGACTATTGACCACATGAGAGAAGTCATTCGTGTTAGAGACTTTCCTCAAAGTAAAGTACAAGAAATTTCTGACGCAACAGGTATAGCATTTAATGTTACCATTGGTTACTTCAATGACTCAAGACATAATGAAATAAAGAGATACATACCAAAAGAATGTAAAACTGTTCGAACTATTGACTTACTTCTTGTTGAAGACCACTACATGCTAAATGAAAGATTACCAATGACAACATACTTCATTCGAAACTATAAAGAAATTCTCAAAGCTTGTGGTGGAATGAACATTGAGAAACAGATGAAGATTTATACAAAGAGAGAAGATAAATATGTAGTTCGTTATGATAGAACAACACCGTTATGGGATGTTATGAAAACATTGTGGGAGTGCAAATATTTCGAACCTATTTCTTATGGAGAACTTTTCACATATACTACTGACTTATATAAACAGAACCTTGCACCATTTAAAGATTTGACATATGCTCCAAAGTATTGTGTACAACTGAAGAAGAAAGCAGAGTCAAAAGAAGTAAATAAAGCTAAATGTAAATTCATTACCTGAGCACGTTTTCTTTGCTGACTTTGAGTGCAGTACGATGGCTTTCATAAAGCTTTTAACATCTGTTATGACAGTGAAGATGGTTCAGTGAGTGAAAGCATTGGGGTCAGAACTGTGCAACAGAATTTTTGGAACGACTTCCTGACAAGAGTTTAATATATTTCCATAACCTCAGTTATGACATAAACTTCATCTTAAGACACATGACAGAAGTGAAAGGAACTCCCATCATTAAAGGTTCACGAACAATGCAAATAACTGGTTTATATAAAGGACGGGCAATTATTATAAAAGACTCTTACAGTGTTATAAATAAGAAGCTTAAACTATTTCCTGCTATGTTTAACTTACAAACAGGACCGAAAGAAGTATTTCCATATAACTACTACAGCAGTGTTTTGTTAGCAAATGACAACAGAACTGGTGTCATTTCTGAAGCATGTAAGTTTTATCCATGATGCAATACATTCATGAAAAACATAGATTCCATCAAAGGTTGCAGAATAGATGAAACCACTTCGACTTAGAAAATATAGCACATTTTATTGCAAACAAGATGTAAGAATTTTAAGAGAAGGTTTGTTAAGTTCCGCAATGACATATTGAAAGAATTTGATTTAAACGTTTATGACTACGTTAGTATTTGTTCAATT